GCTTCACTGTAGTCCAAGCCCACCAGCTATGGTGGCTGGGCTATGGCGCTGCCCTTAGCAGCGCCCTTTTCCTCTGCACGACCGCACGTGCTGCATCTCGCCTCTCAGCGCCAGCCAGCATCCGCGAGCCTTTGCTCCAGCAGCGCTGCCGCTAGCATGCGAGTGCCTGAATGAGGCTGCCTGGCCAGAGCTGTTTCCTTTATGGAAAAGAGCTGGCCAGCTCTCGCAGCCTGGCTGGGCTGGCCTGGGCCCAGAAGCTTCTGGAAGGCCCCAGGAGGCTCCCCGGATGCAGCAGCTACTGGGCTGCTGAACCTCGTTCGGTTGGGCGCCCAACTGTCTCTGTATGAGGCTGCGAATCACGCCCAGGGCCTGCATTCTTTGGAAAGGCCCGGTAGGCCGTGGAAATGTCTTCGTTGCTCGACCTGTGTTTCTTTCAACCAACTGGCGCGTCGCAACTGCCTGGACCCCAAATATGAAATTGACAGAACGAGGGCCTCTTGCAAAAAGCCAGGCCCGCCTTCACTTAGGGCGGGCACCTTAGGGCGGGTAATGCTGCAAACAGGGCCCCATAGGCCTACCGAGGACCCTGATCCTCGCAATGCTGTCTAAATTGGAGTTTTTTTTCCGTTATTTATCATGTAAAAGGGATGCTGGACCCGTTTCCCAGCACGTGATGCTCCCCACAAATAGATTGGAGCAATCCTCCATCAGGCAGAGTGATTTGCCCCTGGTTGATGGACTGATAACCACCTTATCATGTTCCTGGATTCTGAGTTCTAACAATGTGGTGATTTTGCTAATTTCAGGGATGTTGAGAGAAGCAGAACATCATTACGTGGAGGCAAAAGACTGGAAGAGTGCAGTGCAGGTGAGGAACTGGGACCTTTTGCAGAGACAAGCTTGCCCTGTCACCACCAAAATTATGTAACAGGCCATTTACAAGAGAGACAAAAAAATTATTCTCCATTTTCCATGGCAGCTATCGTGTTTTGAGGTCGGGTTTGTCAAGTGCCACCATTCGAAGTGACCTTCCTTGTTCACTTTCCATGAAAGCGGTTTTGTGTCGGGCTTTCTTTTGGTAGCCCAATTCGTAAACTGACTGCTAGATCGAGTGCTAGCAAAACATTCATTGTCACATTTCTGGATTTCAAGACATATAGATACTCCCAATGGCTATGCACCAATAGAAGAGCGGCTGGCAAGCCTCATTGACATGAATCACGCGCCTCCGCAGTACAACCCTGGTACTGCGTTTTTTGTTTGTACCTTGAAGTCCGTGGTAGTCAGTAGGCAGGGGTCGGCGACATGTCAAGTCCCCGTCGAGTCGCAGCTCAGTCCCAGGGAGGGCCCACGACAGGCGGAATGTTTGTCGGCTGCAGTTGCACCTGGCAAAGAGGGCCGGAATTGGCATGAGAGACCAGGCAGATGCACAAAAGGAAGGCAAACGTTATGAACCTCCTCTTCTTCGTATTCCGGACTCTGTGGAACTGCTACTGCATTATTAGGCACCAAGATTGTGGTCGCATGAACAGTAACTGGCGAGGAAATAGCCGACGGCACCAGGCACCATAGCGGTATTTATGCGCAGTAGCAGAGAGAGGACGAGCAGTGAGGACATTCAGAGGAGTTATCGCCTTGATCGGTGGCCAGGAGGTTCAAACGTGGGGTTTCCCCTTTGAACGGGGGTGGGAATGGGCGACGGGGTTGGGTGACCCCCTCACTACCACCCACCCATGAAAAAAGCCACTACTGAGGCAAGGCTTCAGAAGGCTAGCGTTGCATACTTCAATGAGTATGGGCAGAACCAAAGATCAACCAATGTAGGATGAGCATATATGCAGTGGAAGTCTGATAAACGGACTGACTCACATAGACTGACTCACATGGCATCACTCCACACACATACAATCGTGAGATGGTGGGGTCTG